AATGTTGTATTGAGCCCTAAATAGATCATCAAGCTAGTCATACTAAGTCCAAACAATAAGAGAAAAAAAGATGACATGACTAACCAAACAATGCATGATGAATAAATTGAATGCTTTTTTTTGGGATCATCGAAATTCTCTTCCGAAATTAAAGATAATTAATTATATAAGTGCATCTTGTTAGGCAATATTCTAGTTAGTTATGAAAAAGACAATGATCTTATGATGAGTTATTCATTTTCAATTTTTTCTTACATAAAAATAGATTAGAGAATTTGAAAAAATATATAACAAAAAAATATTGATTTTTATGATATGTCCACATGTTTTTAGGTTAGCATTTCACCTTAATTCTTGAGCTTGGTTTATCTCAAAACAACTCTTCTCATATCCACCTTTTGACTTAATCTAATTTATTAACACAAAATCCCTTCCATATGATTGAAATAAATGTGCTTCCATCCAACACTAAAAAATTATAAATATTCATTTACATGAATGTATTTGAATTGAAATGCATATAGACATATGTCAAGATCCTATCACAATAATCTTCATATAGTGTACCACATAAAAGGTCATAATAATGCTAGACACATTCATACCTAATCAAGAAATGAGTTATATTGGAGCCATTCCTTTAATTTAATACATAGTATATTCTCTATGATATAAAATGGATCTAGAAAGAGAAACGTAGAAAAGAGAAAAAAAGAGAAGAAAAAATAAGAGCACCTAAAAAAGAAAATAAGATATAAGAATTCTTCTTGCATTCCATACTCATCCTTGTATTGGTCTTCTTTCTAAACTTACATAGAGACATTTCAAGAGTTTTTACTTGCTCTATTTCTATATAATAAATAAATAAATAAATAAACAATAATTGTCTGGAATATATCTATTTAAAATAACTTGTTATTGTTTGATAATTTTCGTAATAACTTTCCCTCATATTTTACTTTGATTTAAGTCATGGTAGCTCCAATATTTTATTAATAAATTTACTCATAAATTTTATTTAGCACTCTTTCTGTCTAGCATGCTACTTCTGTCGTCATACATAAGATAAAAAATTATTCTTCTATTACATTGAAACTAATGTTCACAAATGTATTAAATATTTTTTTTCATTATGCTCATCTAAAATCTATTATTAATGAAGTAATGTTTAACTAAAATTTTTAACATTTTGACGTACTTCCTTGAACCCACTCAGATAATATGGCTTTATAGATGTATAAGTCAAGCCTCTTAAGTTTGAAATAACTTATTATGATTCATTTTATTTCACTTATTAAATCTATATATTTCCTTTAAAAATACTTATGCATCTCAAGAAAAAAATTTATTTATCTTAGAAGTCCCGATTCATATAACAAAAAACTCTCTTTTAACAAGCCTTGTCATCTCACTAAGATAGTTTAGAAAAGACTAAATTGTTCAAACATCGCTTATTTTCATATTGTGAGTAACATCTAATTATTTTCAAACACTTTTGGCAAGATAAATATCCATCTATTTCAAACATCAAAGCATGTGTGCCATTTTAATATCCAAGTAACCCAATAAAAGATATAAATAAAAAAGATTGTTATTTAATTAAATTAAAAGAAGCTGCATCTGATTTTATTTTCTTATGAGGGGAATTTTATGTTTCTTCATAAGATATTTTTAAGCAACGTCTTCAATTATGTGGATAATTATTTAACTAAAAGTTCTTGAAAGAAATTATCACTCTACTTAAACATGTAATTGTACCATAATTAATCATAATGTAGTTTTTTTTCATTCATACTATTATCTTCCAAAGTTTATTTTCTTCCCTTATATCTCATCCTCTCTCTAAAGGTTTTCCCTTAATTCTGTACAATGGTATAATTTTTGCATTCAAAATATCCTAAAGTAGATCATATCCTCTTTAATTTTGTTTGGATCAAGATGAAGATTTTAATTGACGGGGATAACCCATTTTTAAGAATATGATAATATGTTTATAAAGAATAAAGTGGTTAAAACACTACAAGTGTGAGCATAGTTCACATAAATTAAATTTGCTAATGCAGTCCTAGAGACTAATGATATGAGGGTTCAATCATAGAGTGGGATGTTATATCAAATACCCTTATGGTTTCATGAACATTTTTTTTATGAATATAAATCCTTATATAAATTATTTAAGTATTTTTAAAATTATTTTATTTTAAGTAAATTTTAATAAATACAAAAATATGTTAAAAAGTGTCACAATATGCTAAGGACTTATGATCTTCATCCATGAATGGATTAGCCTTAAAGTAGCTTATGATCACTTGATCAATGCTTTGATGAGTATTATAAATATTTAGCACTCTTAACTAATTAAAAATATTAAAAATTATTAATAATGTTGAAAGTTACTTGGGTAGGTTAACCGCTTAACATAACAAGAAGAATAATGTCTAGGTGTTCTTAATCTATTGTAGACACTTAGAACAAAATTTAAAATACCTATTTATTTTTTAAATTTAAATATTTATCAAAATTTGGAGAAAACATAACGTGAAAGATAATTAAAAACCTTTTGAATTATCAATAGAGTTTTAAAGTTCTCTAAATAAATGTAAAAATAATTTAGATTGTTTAGACAAATAACGAGTGAGTTATGAATTTTACATGGTCTAATGAAAACTCATAAATTATGTAAATTTTAGAAAATACGATTTCTTTCCTTATAATACTTAGTATATGTTACAAATTTTATAACAAATACTCAAATATTCCTTCTTCTCAAATGATTATTTCACTCAATTAAGAAGAAAATGAAATTTCTAAGGACTTCTAAAGTTTTAATTCCTAAGAATTAAATAATTAATATATAGTTTACACTTGCCATCAATATGAAAATATATTAATTATCCACTCCAAGCAGCGCATCACAAAATAATTACAACTAAGCTTACTTTCAAGACATGATTTAATCATCAACAAAATTATGACAGTGGATCTAATCATGTGAGAATTGATGGTAAAATTTTTCATCTCTTATTTGTAGCCCTTAGGTTGAGGTATTTATCCAATATTGTAACCCTTGTTCTTTATGAATCTATGGTAAATTTTTAATATTAAGGATCCATTGTTGGTAAGACCAAGATGAAAATGAACATACTTGAAGAGGGCAGACTATAGTTTATGCATCAATGAATAACAAAATAAACTGAACAAAACTTGTGTTCGAAGGAATTACCTAGCTAAATTAATATTGTGCTTGAGTCATCCCCTACTAGTAAAACCTCCATGTCAAAGGAATAAACATGAGTTATGAAGCTTGAAAACTTATTCTCTTTTGATCATTATGATGACTATCACTTTTTTGTTTATCAAAGATTATTAAATTCAATAATAGATACACATTAAGGATGTTAGGGGTGAGACACCTGAGCCTTAATGGGAGTCAAAAGTAAGTGTGTATGATTGTGTGAGGGCCTTATGAGTTCATACAAAAAGTTTGAAGAACTTTTTTTCATTATATTTCTTAGATTGGTTATAATGGCTAAGGATAATATCTAAGAGTATCTAAGGAGTTCAAAGAGAGTTTGGGTAGAATATAGGGCATAATATGGGTCGCCCAAAGAAATCTTCATGACTATTTCGGGCCATCTTTTTTTTAAGCACTAGTTGGTCCCAAAAGTGGTGCCAATTTGTCTAGATTGGTAAGGGTGAATTAGTTAAGGCTTATGATAGTGGGGTGGAGCCATGGCCTTGGCAACCAAATGGGTAAAAAGGCAAGGATTATTGAAATGGGCTTGGTTTGGGTAAACTTGGGCTTTAGGCAAATCCAACAAGTTTTAGCAACATTAGGTAATTTAGTCATGTTAGCTTAAATAGAGTTTAGTAAACACATGATCATCAGGACAAAGATAATATGGGTCCATTTAGGATAATTAAGCCTTAATAGCTTAATTGGGTCAGCTTAAATTGCCTTTAGCCAACTATAATAAAGTGCAATGATTGGAAAACAAAAAATACAAACTAACCGGCCATCTTAGCGAAAATGAATTTTTTTTACAAGAGAACCTAAATAAAAAAAAGGAAAACCCTTCCATCATAAGTACTAAATTTTAGATCATCTTTGAGTTCCTATTTGTCCCTACTAATTCTAAAATTGCACCACAATAAAGTCACTTACCATCCAAATCAAATCCACAATTTTTAAACCAATTCACCATCCTATCAGTTAAGAAGAAGATTCTTTTATTGCTGCTTTGAATAAAACTCTTGTGACAGTTTAGAGACTATGGAATTTGAATTGATAAAGGCCCTCCTGCTCACGTAGAAACAAGGAAAATGGTGAAAGGTTAGCTTTTATCTAAGAGAAGGATTGATAGGAATCTAAAATGTGTGTTCATTATTTAGTAAGGAGTACATAGTTTTGGGGTAGTTTGAAGAGATACAGATTAAAGGGCTGCAGTGAAGAGAAGACGGTTGCATTTGACAGATTTAGAGAGCCTGTAGCGTAAGCTGAAGGATAATGATTATGTAAGAAAAATCAAATGAGACATTGGGAGAGACGCCACAAAGTAAGAAGATGCAAATACCACAAAATCGTAATCCTATCAGGTCAAAAAGCATATCCTTTTTGGAGTTTTTCCTTCCCGTCGACTACTTTCTTCACAGGCCACCGGTCATAACTCAAATATCTTCATTAATCACTTCTCGAGTGATTTAAAAGAGACAGAAAGAAAGCAATCGGCACTGAAAACCAAGCTTTTTGAAATAGATATATAGTACAAGCTCGTCAGAGGGACTCATTTGCAAGCATTATAACAAAAGTAAGAGAGAGGAAATACGACAGGGAAAGACATAATAGTTTAAATGAGATAGAATTAATATAAATTAATAAATAGACAAAAAAACTGTCCATTTGTTTTTTAAGCAATCATGCTTAAACTGCTATCTTGAGCAAGATCATACAATATATATTGCTGAAAAATATCATCACTTCTCTGAACATTAAGAAGAAATAAATAAAATTGGAAACCCCACACAATATAAATATATATATAGCTAGATATGCTCGCATTACTAATAATATTGAGAAGCATTAATTTGCAGCAATGCGATTTAACTGGACCTCTGAGCTAATGTTCATGATCAAGGTTTTCTTCGTCTCCCTCTCTTTCAATCATAACCGAGGAAATGTAACTCGCCGCTAATGAGTAGTCATCACTTAAAAGCATCTGCGCCGCCGTCGCCTTGGAGTGAAATTGCTGCTTGCAAGAGAGGCAGGTGATTTCCAGTAAGATGGAATGTATTTTCTTGGCGGCGCGGTCTCTTAGTGCCAACGCCTTGTTAAGCTCTAGCTGCGCCTGTTGCCTGATCCGCTTCGCATTCGCAAACTCCTGATTGGCGAGCTCCATCTGCCGCTTAGCCTCTTGCCGCGCCTCTTCTGCCATTTCCCTCTCATCCTTTACCCTTGAGGAGCCAATGGTGAGCTCCAATTTCGCTGCGCGGGTGTCATCGGAGGAGGGAGATGGGGTGGAGGCGGGGATCCCTGGTTCTGCAGGAAGGAGCTGGAGCTCGATGTTGGGTGGCCGACGAAGGGCGTGAGAAGACGAAGATGGTGAGTAGTGGTCGGGTTGAAGGAAGAAGGAGGCGGTCCTGGCTGTGTTCGGACATCTAAAAACCGGCCACATCGCCGCAGAAGACGGCGATGAGGTGGGAAGCACGGCGGATGGAGGTATAAAAACTGTCTGATCACTTGATGGGCTCTGGCTAGACGCAGAAAGCGACAGACATGGCTGCCGAGCCCGGCCGGCATTACACGTATCCTGGTGCTCAATGAAGCTCTCCACCCTTGACAACCAAATTAAATTAGCATAAAAGGTTACGATTTAGGATCTCAAAACGAAATCGTTTATACCATATATATACATATAGAACGATGGGATCGATCAATAGATCGAGATTCCAAGCGCAGAAAAATATTATTAAATTTATGTTAATATCAAAGAAAAATAATATATATATATCTAAAAAAATATTGACACAATTTTTTTATATACCGGGAGAAGACGCGACCGCAGTCGCAGGAGTGACCGCGGGTGCCGCAAGTCTTGAGATGGGCTTTGTAATCGGAATGGACGGCGTAGGCCTTGGTGCAGCGAGCGCAGGCCCACTGCTTGTGCGCGGAGTGCTTGCGGCGGAAATGCTTCTTGATGCCGACGAGATCACCCAAGGCGTGGGAGGGGTCATGGTGGAGGCAGGAAGGCTCGGGGCACACGAAGACCCGCTTGCGGGTCTCCGAGCCGCTCTCGCGCTTAAGCAGCTTCCACGGAACCTTGTGACGGCGCCTGTGCATCTGAAGGTTCTGGTCTCGCTGAAATCCTTGGTTGCAGATCTCGCACACGTACCGGTCTGATTCCAGGAGTGTTCGCGGAGAGAGCGAGACCACCTCCGCCTCCGGGTCTGCAGCACCGCTCAATGACTCAGCTTGTATCTTTTAATATAAGCTGGTGATTCTTCGTTTTTATTAATTTAAACTTACTTACCAGGAGTGCCTGCGGGGCGGCGCTTTCGCTTGGTAGCGGAGCTGGCATTGGGAGGGGCAGGTAAGGAGGTTGCGGCCGGTGGAACCGGCGAGGGAGAGACGAGCATGGATTGATGGGTGTTGATTCTTAATTTGATGGTTAATGTTGCTGATTTATGGTGACTTGGGTCAGATCAAGTGAGGGGTTTAAGATGCGTGATAAGAGTATTTAAGAGGAGAAGAGGAATTAGAAGAAGATAGAAAAAGGAGAAGGGAGACAGCCATGACTTGGTAGGAAAGATGGAAAAGGTGTTTCCATCAATCTCTTTCTCCCAGTGTGTTTAGAAGATTGTTTTGGAGTCTACCTGAGAGGATATATAAAGAGGCAGCTTTCCAAGGCCTAGTTCAAGTTCGCAGCTTTCTTTCGGATTCGGTCATGGATGGGAATTGATGGGCTGAGGAAGGATGCGGGTGGGGAGGAAGGTGGACTTGGAGTTATTGGAGATGTAAGCTAGTACTGAGCTCCTCTCTTGTTATTATTATTTTCATTCAATAAAACGTTCTCCTTGCAAGGGAGAAAGGTAGAGGACTGACCAATCAAAGCGCTCGAAACTTGAGCCCACCAAAATAGGCAAAGACGGACAGCGAGGAAAACATCCTCACAAAGAAACAAAAACCCTCATAATTCCTCCTGCATACAAAAGAAGCCATCATAATTTCATCACTCCCCTCCTTCCACAGGAAGCAGTAATTTGCATGGATAAATGCAGACTTGTGACCTCTTTCTCTAAAATATATATTCCTCCTCTCACTAATAAATTTGCTATGTTGATGACAACTAGACTTTAGCAGTACCCCCTTTAGATGAGGGATATTAATGTGTTGGTGTGTGAAGGCCAATTAATATATAGGCTACTTGTGTCATTGTGTGGAATATATTTCTGTATGTCATGTTTGTTTGCTTGTAATGACTCTGGCTCCAGACCGCCTTCATGGCCTGTACACCATGGAATTTCTTGGGTAATAATATGATGGAGATGCTGCATAAATGATCTAGCGATCACAATATGTTGATTCTTTAGAAAAACGTTTTCCTGAAGATTTGTTTCATTATTGAGATGTTGTTTGTGGTGTGGCTTTGGATCCTATGTATGCGTCCTTGCAAATGGAGTACATAAATTAATGAATATTTACTGTTAGGATGTAGTAACTTTTCAAAATGGACATTTCATTTTTACATATTTGCCATTTTACCTATCTATAAAAAAGAATATTTCATGTTTTAAAGTTAAAATAGTGATATTTTTTGTGATATGAAATATTTAGATGGTATAAATGTAAAAATCAAAATTCATAAAAATTGGGAGGAATGTATGTAATTGCCCCGCTGGGCCGTTCATCTCGGCATCAATATAAAAGAAAAAAAAAACAAAAAACAAAAAGAAAACAAAAAATTTATATACATATATAGATATTATAATCTTGGCAATAAAGAGTATTAAGGAAATCATTAGCCTTGGCGAAATGATTTAAGTGTATCTTTACGATTAAACCAGGTACTGGGTTAAAATATGAAAGCAATAATTAAGCACCTCTAGTTTCGAGTAATAATACTTTGTAAATAAATCAAACCTCACCAGACCTAAAATGTTTAATTTACAAAGGTAATGTATGGTATAAGTCGTATTGGTTAATTTCACGTGCTGTATGCATACAAAAATACGAGCATATGAATTATTATACAAAAAATTCCATCCCTCATATTTTCGATTTGAAAGGTATATAGCACACATTTTTTTCATACCATACTTATAATGAAGTTAGAAATATGCATTTTGCAATTTCCAATTAACATGGCAGGAAGAATATTTGCAAAAACTTTTTATTTGAAATTTTAAAATTAAAAATAAATTTAAAAAATAACTTGATTTCTGTTTGACGATAAAATAAGGAATGGAGATTATATTTTAATATTTGGTTTTAATTAAATCAATTCAATATAAAAATCAGTTGTGCTAATCAGTGGAGATGGTGGCAGCTGACGTTGAATGAAAACAGTGGCAGGCGTTGGTGGTGATGGTCGTCATCTTTGGTGGTAGCAATGGCTTGAAATAGTGATGTCTGAAAAGAACAAGGGCCTATGGTGAGATTTAAGTCTACCAAAATTTCAAATTGGATTTATAATTTATCAAATAAAATGCAAAAACTTCAAAATTTATACATATTTTATACCCAAAGTATAACTCAAATAACCCGAAATAAGCTGTTAATATGCTGAGCGAGAAACAAAATTTTCACAAACTATAAGATGAAGGTTTTATGGTCCGCATACGTTTGATCATTTTTACATAATTTTAATAATTTTGACATGATCTAAACGTTGCATTGATTGATTGGTCTTAATTTAGTACCAATCAAATATTCCGAGTTTTCTTTTTTTACCTTAAAAGAGAGAGGACGTAAGAGTTTAAATTTTGTAGAAGATCTGTAATCTCGAATGAAGTGTTTTGTTTGATTTCGCCTTTCAATAAATTTTGTCTGGAAAAGTGAAACTGATATTTTATATGAATGAAAAATAGCCTTGGAAAATATGTAATATCAGAATATTTTGATTTAAATTTATCTATGATAGTTTTAAAGTTGAATGATTTTATTTTGAGATTGGTGTTGTATAAATTTTAATTAATTACTTGCTCATTTAAAAAAATTAAGAAAATTAATTTCAATTAAACTTGAATCGTGATATTTTTATTTTGTTTTCATAAAAGAAAATTAAAACTATTTTAATCTCATTGAGATGAGCGTTTGACTGCAACTTAATTTTACGTTAAATAGATTTTATTAAATCTGATAAATTCAGATTTATCATATCGATGTCAAGCAGAATAAATCCTACTCGTAATAGAATTTATAAGATATATATATATAATTTTTGGTGTTTGATTGGATTTAAACTTAATTCATAATTAAATCCTTTAAATAATATACTATCAAAGACCGCCTTGTAATGCGTTTCCAAATAATTTTTTTTTTGAAGCATTGCTCATGATATATTTACGATGTCACTGCCTATGTTCCATATTAAATGTATCCCCTTTACTTCACCATGCAAGACTTTCTAGCCGGCAATTTGCTGGGCCCTATTACGCGCCATCTACAAAGAGACTAAACGAAGGCGAGATTTTAGCGAAGATGGTTACCAAAACCAGCAACAAGCCTAAAGCTTTTTGTGGTCACTTCAGTCACTTGTGACGAGCATTACAAGAAAAGGTTTAAAGATTTACGGTTTAAAAAACATATAGTTATGGACTTCATCATTAAAATAACGAGGTGAACAATCAAATTATTGAATCATGAATTGTCTTTTGTGAAAACACACATTGAGAGTTAGAGTCACGAGAAGGAGGATGAGAAAGAGTAAAGTAATTGAGAAAGTCCAGCAGAGAAACGGTAAAGGGACTCTTTATTCGTTCTTTTATTTCTTATTTATAGAGACGTATTTGTACAATCACATAAAGAAGATAACGGTTATGAAAACCATTCTTAATGCAAGTTAATCATGAGGTTTTGTCGCCAAATTTATATTAAATTTTAAATTCAGATGTGGCGGTAATCAGTTGTTCGACGTGCATGAATTCGGTTGATCGAGGCGTCGGTAGAGTGGTGATTGTGCCTGCCAATGTAAGAGGTTGGTCGATGGATATGTTGCGGTCCGACACCTTTGTGAAAATTTTAGGCTGTCTGGGACTGTAGGCATGGTCTGCCAGTAGAGTCTCTCACAATAATGTGTTAGATGGCTCCAACTGAGTTGTCCATCGTTGAATGGTCGATTTGGATCATGTTCTTGTAGCCAGATGCCTCAATTGTCCGACCATTATCCAGAGCCCCTCGATTGCCTAGAGATTCACGCCAAAAGTTTTGGTGCATATATATTGGTTCTCGGAGTTTTTTTTCCATTGACAGTGCAGGTATGAAAAAGACAGAAATTATTAATAACCAGTGACATTAAAATCAAAAAAAATATTTCAACGACTAACTTCTCATTTAGATTTTGTGCTCATAGTACTCTATAAATAGAGTCGTGCGCTTGGCATGCCGTCTTTTGTCATAATTTTCTCCTAGAAAACTGAGTTGCGCCATGGCTGATAGTTCGATTCAAATCATCATGGACCCCAAAATTTTAGCAAAAAAAAAGAATGGAGTAAGAGGGAAAGAAGGTTAGGATTCAAACCTATGTCGGTGGATTAGGTTGATTCGTTTAGAGATCCTGAGGAGCATATGTCAAATGTTCTTCGTAAGAAGGTCATGGTCCTTGAGCCTAGCATGGATGTAAGCACCAGGGGCCAACAAACTTTGTATGTTGAAGGTGCCGAGGCAATTTAAAGGGAACATGATGAGGCAGAGATCATTGTCCTTCCTCAACCACTAATGCAGGAAGGTGGAGGCACCTTGACTTAAGGGGGAGAGAAGCTCTTTAGGACCCTTTCTTCCATTGACAGATTTATGGGTATGTAAGACCTTCTTTGGTCTACTAATAGTTCTCAAAGTTTTTTTTTTTTTTCATATTTTCAATGTAGACGAATTGGTGCAAATGGACGGTTAGAGGTCCGATAGTGAACCCAGTGTGGGAATCGTCAGTACCCCTGGCTTCCATGAACTCACAGGTAGTAGCCCTGCGGGTAGACGTTGCCTCCTTGCAGCGTGTGCTGACAAAGGTGTTGTGCAAGCATGGAGTGCTTCGCGAATCGATTGAATTGGGCAAGTTTCTTAGTAAGGCTGATTTATTGGATCGTAATAAGTTAGGTAGACAAATAGTCCTCCAAAGATTACCATAGAAGAGTTATGTACTGACTGAGGCCTTAAAGGATCCACTCATAAAGAATTTTGTTCTAGATATGTAATAATGCTATTTGAATTGAAATGTCACTTGAATAAATTTGAAAACATATTTGATGTGACACTTGTTATTATGTGACACACTGTTTTACGTGCTTGTCTTACATCACTTCTTTTCTATTTTATGCCTTATGGTCTCTCCCCGTGCTTTCGATCTTCCTTCACATTTCGTCCGTCGACCGCTTTTTATTTCCCGAGATGGCTCTACAAGATTACCCTACCCTCTTTGGCTCTATCAAAAGTGTTGCTTCTTCGTTTCTGACAGAGAATGAGGTTAAGGAGTTGCAAAGAAGGCATATTCTACATGACGTAGTCACTCTTTAGAAGTTGTCAGGTTCGGTGCAAATGGACGCCATGAGTAAGGGTGTGGTCTTTTACTGAGTCCATTTTAAGTACAACCTCTGGTTACTTCTGTGTGATGAGCTTCAAATTCTTTAATATTGACAAGGTTATTCCAACGCATGTACTGCCAATCTTTGTAGATGCATTATTAACTTTCATCCTCTTTTATTAGCAGGAGCATATTGTGTGGTCGATCGACCTCAGTTTGACCATTCATGTGGGGATGAGCTACAGATGTATGCAGTTGCTGCATGTGGAGATCCTCAATGCAGGAAGTAAAGACTTATCTAGTGAATTGAATTCCATTGTCTGTAATAATCTTTAAAAGAATGCCAAAGAGGCATATTACATTCTTACAAATGAATTGCTTGGTATTCACTTCTGTAATATTGGCCATGGGCTTTCCCTTCACTCACTTAATGAGATGATCAATGAAAAAAATTATGAATTTTCATTGCCCCACAACCATAATAACTGGTTTAATATTATCTACACCCTATTGGGTGAATGACCATGACCTTTGAAAAGATGTAACCTCTACAAACATCATGTATCTGAAACTAGAATAAAATTTTTAACTATCATTTTTTTTGGTGAAATTCAATGTATCTTGTGCTAGGTTCAGCTAAGGTTCA